AACAAAAAACGATAGTTCTCGCCGGCATAGAAGCTATTCAGCTTCAACTACACCTCTCTGCGCGAAAAACAAAAATCTGCGCTCTTTAAAGCTTGGATTCATTCAACATGCAGATTATACGTATTTTAGAGTCGATCGAACGAACCCCTCCACGCTTTTCTACGTGAAACGCGGCCGTGTCCCATGTCCTTGCTCGAACAACACCGTTCCATCATGGATAAATGAACGGTCGACCCTAATATTTCATCCTATCCGATGTCGCGCTAAATTTTTTTCCCTATCGCTACTATCGCTTACGTATGAATAGCTATCGATAGGATCGATATACGCGAACGAAATTTCATGTTAAAATATTCTCGAATATTCGAAAAGGAAAAAAGAAAGAGAAAAAAAAAAAAAAAATATCGAGAGAGTTATGCATATTTTCTTTATCAATGTTCGATATTTTTTTTTTTTGAAAAACACGAATACAAGTTGTATATTTGATATATAAATATATAGTTGGAAATTTCGTTGGAAAAAAAAGGATAGAAAAAAAGAAAGGAATACAAGAATAATTCGATAAGTTGGTTCGTATCTTATTGCTTATTGCCGTGCACACGTTTCGCCCATTTCGCGATTCTTTTATTTACTTTTCCCCTTCTCCTCTTTCCTCTCTCTCTTTCTCTCTCTCTCTCTCTCTCTCCCTTTCCCTCTCCTTTTTTGCAATATCCACAAAACTCATAGACTTCCAATCTGTTTCAGTAATAACCAGAGTAAACGATCGGACGTGACGTCACTGGATTCGAACGCCGGGAAGCCGGACGCTTTGAAATTGTCAGTTTTACAGATGCGCGCCTCTACTATTCGGAGCATGTAAAACGGACAACAGAAGGCCGGCCGGGGCCACGGCCATTACACGTTAATGTTGGACTTTGTTTGCCTTGAAAATTGATGCTCGCTATATACCTCGGCCCTCACCCTTTCAACCTCGCAACCACCGACTCTTGTTGCTTCCTATCCTATTTTTCTTTCTTTCTTTCTTTCTTTTCTTTCTTTTCTTTTTCCTCTCTCCTTTTTTCCCCTTCCTCCGCTTCGCGTTTTTCACGCGCGCAAAACTGATACAACCGTACGTTTTTATCAAAGATCGTTCCGAATACGTGAAAATTCCCCCCTCTCCCACCTTCGTTTTCTCGTTTCTCGCATTTAGCAGATAGAGAGAGAGAGAGAGAGAAAAAAGAGAAACACGTCCCGTTCCAAGATACGAAATTTTTTTAACCAAATTTTCCAAGTTTCGATCATATTCGAAGCAAATTTTTCTCGATTTTCTCGAATCGAAAATCGAAGAAATTCTCTTTTTTGCAAAATCCGAGTTTCTTCCATAACAATAACGTTCGTTCAATTATATCGAATTTTATTACCGATGCACGTTTCGAGTTTTTTTCTCTTTTTTTTCTTGCGTTCTTCCTTTCTACAATATTTGGATCCGGCCTCGGGGAACGGAAAGGTTCCAACCTTATCTACAACGAGGCTGTTCGCTTTACGTTCGAAGCGATGTATACGATAGAGAGAGACGCATAGACGCTTCACGATTTGGAACTAGAACCCGATAGTTTTCGAGTTCTAATGAGACAATTTCGAGTTTGAAATGGATCTTTACGGTTTACAGAGTATTCATTAGCGTCGTTCAGTTGAATTTTTCGTTCCTCCGCTATTAATATAATTTTGGAAAGGAATATGACTCTCTGCGTTCATCGACGAACAATGGACGCGTTCACGCTTAAGGAAGACTTGATATTTTGGAAGATGATTTATGAGAATGGCGTCGAATGGAATATCGAAGGAACTCTCATTAGCGTTCAAAGATTCGACGTCGTCATCAATGGACGTTGTTCGTTCAGCTTACATAGACATTTAAATTTATTTCTTTATTTTTTTTCCTTCTTTATTCTTATGCGTGTTTTTTTTAATATAAATATTTTTTATAATTTAATATAAATTTTTGTTAAATATTATTGTTTGTTCAATATTGATTTATATATATATATATAGATATATATTTCTTTCGAACGACGAAATGAATGCTTGGAAAATTATAGGCGACAGGTGGTCAATCGTCGTGCGTTTCAAATCGCGATTCTAATTTTTTTCCCAAAGGGATATAACCGGCGCAATTTTGCATACCTATCTCCAAGTGTTTTACGGGTGGACCGTAAAAGATTTTACGACGGAATTGCGCGATAAGAAATTGCAACGCGTAAATTTGGTTTGTCAGATTTATAGTGTTCCATTAACCGAAGACCAAGAGGTAAAATTCTTGGGAAAATTTGAGCCGCACTAGAGATGGATTAATAAAAAATAATCCAACAAAATGGAACATTTTGCTCGGACAAAATTTTAAATTCTTCGACGTAGGTTACTCAAGAGATACTAGAGATAAAATCTTTGGGGAAATTTGAGTCACGATAAAGATGGATTAATAAAAATATTCCAATAAAATGGAATATTTTGCTCGCACAAAATTTTAAATACTTCGATGTAGGTTATATAAGACTAGATAAAAAATGAGCTGCCCTAGAGAAGGATAAATAACTATCTCCATCGACATGAGTAACGTCGTGTTAAGACAAGAGGTAAAATACTTGGAAAAATTTGAGCCATACTAGAGAAGAGATAAATAAAAATATTCCACTAAAATAAATTTACGAATCATTTAAAAATTTTTTGGCGTATTCCATAAACTTAAGAAAAGAGCTAAAATCCTTTGGAAAATTTGAGCCACATTAGAAATTAAAAACCGATCAAAAAATAATCCAATAAAATGAATTCACATGTGAATCATTCTACGTAATTCTTCGACGTTGCGTTCTTCGTTAACTCGAGACAACAACGAAAAAATCAACAATCCTATATGAAATTTTGTTCGCGCAAAATCCCAAAATACCTCTTGGACGTAAGTTACGACAACGCGATAATAATAGAACGAGAATGTCGAACACTTACCGATGGTCGTCAACACGGTGAGAGAGTACAGAAACGCCTTGGCGAAGTTCCACTCGTATTCCGGGATCCGTCGTTCCGTGACGGGATCCGTGGCCGAGCCGCCTGCTTGCGTCCCCCCGTTTTGGGTCGCGATCACGTCCTCCGTGATCCTTTTCACCAATTGATCCTGGAAACGCGCGATTTCCTGGGCGGCCAACCTCGTCCAATTCTCCCGGTAAAGGATATTCAAACTCTCCGTGATTATCCATATATTCTCCACCGTCTTCGCCCTTGCCTCGTGCCCGACCTTCAACCAACGCCCTTCCTTACATTCGTCGTGCCAGAAATGAGGAATAAGGAATGGAAAAGAAAATTCTCTCTCTCTCTCGCTCTCTCGCTTTCTCTCTCTCTCTCTCTCTCTCTCGCTTCTCTCCATCTTTCTC